CCCGGAAAGGCCCCGGGACCCTCCGGTGCCCCCTGACGCCCCCCGGGTCCCCCCGCGACCCCCGGCCCGGGGCGCCCCCGCTCAGGCCCCGCCCTCCACCCTGGTAGCCACGCCCACAAACCACACCCCAGCGCTGACCCCGCCCCGTTTAACCCCGCCCCACTTTAACCCCGCCTACTTTAACAGCGCCCCTTCGCTCCCGCCCGACTTCCGCCCGCGCCTTCAGACGTTTTGCGTCACTTCCGGCGCGCGCTCAAGATGGCGGCGCCCTTGCGACGGGCGCTGCTGGCGCTGGGCCCGGCCCGGTCCCGGCTCTCGGTGCCGGTCCCGGCCCCGGCGCGGCCCTACCGGGCGGATCCGCTGCGCCGCCGCCCGGGCCCGGCTCCAGCCGACCCAGAGGACCCGCGGGCGGCCGCGCGGCGGTTCGGGCGGCTCGGGGAAGCGTCGGGGGTGGAGGTGTGGCGGCTGTGGCCGAGCCCGGAGCAGCTGCGGGAGGCGGAGGAGGAGGAGCGCGAGTGGGACCCGCCGCTGCGGGATGTGGAGGCCGTGCTGGATCAGCGGGAGCGGGAGGAGGCGCGGCGGAGAAAGGAGAGGTGGGGCTGGGAGCACCGGGCCCGTTCTGCCCGGCGCTACCGGGAGAACCGGGAAAGGGGCTTTGGGGGTGGCTTCACGGTGTCCCCGTTTTCGTGCCCAGGGAGGAGCTAGTGGCCCGCAGCCTGGCGGCGATGCCGGCCCGCGTGGCCGCGTGGCGCCGGGAGCGGGAGGCGCTGCGGGAACGGGCGCGGGCGGACGCGGCGCGGCGGCAGCGGCTCCTGGCCGAGGCTGGGCTGGGGGGGCTCCCGCGGCCCGGGACCCCCGCCCGCGCCTCTGCCCGAGCCCAGGAGCTGCTGGACGAGATGGAGCGGCAGCAGCGGCGGGAGGAGAAGCGGCGCCGGCGGCAGGAGCGGGAGGAGGCGGCTCGGAGCGCTTTGGCCGCGGCGGAGGCGGCGGCGGCTGCACGGCCGCTCCCGGGAACCACCCCGGAGGGCGAGGAGACGACCCCCAGAACCCCCGGGGAGACCTCCTGACCCCCCGCTCCTTGTCCAGAGACCACCGGGACTGTCCCCCGAGCTCCCCCCAGGAGCTGCTCCTCCCCAGTTCCCCTCTCCAGAAAACGAGGACACCCCCAAAAATGGGTTTAAAACTCTGCATTTAATCTCTTTGCCGCCAGTTCTGGTTGTTCTGCGGCGCCGCCCCTCCCTCCCCCACCCTCCCTTCCCCGGGGCCTGACAGGGAGGGGGGGGGTCAGGTTTTTTTTTGGGGGGAGGGGAGTGGGGGGGCAAGGAGAAAAGCGGGTGCTGAGACCCCCCCCCTCCCCAAAGCAGGGAGGGGCTCCCCCTGCTCCCGGGATGGGGGGGGGGGCCGGGCTGGGGATCCCCAACTCCCCCGAGGCTCCGGGGTAGGAGGGGGGGGTGTCAAACTGCATCCTTACCCCTCCCCCACACAGCGTGGGACCCCCCCCCAGAGGCAAAAGGAGCCCCCCCCCAGGTCGGGGGGAGGGCTGGGGGGTCCCTCAGTCGTCGTCGAAGTTCTGGCTGAGCAGGAAATTGGCCGCCAGGTTCTCGTTCTTCTCGCAGGCGAAGTAGGCCTGGATCACCAGGCTCTCGGGAAAGCCCAGCGCCTTCAGCTGTGGGCACCGAGGGGTTAAACCCGGGCTCCTGCGCCCCCCAAAACGGCACGGCCCAGCCCTGGTGACCCTGACCCCACCAACCCTGAGCCCTTCTGGTGGCATCTCCTCACCCCAGTAACCCCGATCCCCAATATTTCCCATTTCCCATTCATTCTGTGCATAAAAAAGTCAATTTTTTATCACTGACAGTTAATAAGGCCACCCCCACCTCTATTCACTCTGACCCCTACTGGTGTCACCTCTTGTCCCCTTGAACCCTGACCCCTAATATTTCCCATTTCCCCTTCACTTTGTGCCCTAAAGAATTCATTTCCCATCAGTTTTTAATTGTGGGTGCTAATAAGAGCACCTGAGCTATATTAGCTCTGGGCCCTGCTGCCAGCACCGCCCACAAACGTTAATTAGGAGTTTTTAATTAATGCCATTTGAGCCCCTGCCACCCCAGTGCCCTGCTCACCCTCTCTATGGCTTCTTTCTCCTGCGGGGTCACCTGGATGTAATTCATCTGGGGGGACTCGTCCCCGATGGCTCCCACCTCCCCCTCCAGCTCGCCCAGCTCGCCCAGGGGCTCGTTCAACATCTGGATGAACTGCTCCTGGTGCTGGCTGATTTGCTGGGGGGATGGCGAGGGGGTGTGGTCAGCCCAGGTGGGGTCCTGGGTGGGCTTAGGGGGGCTCTGGGTGGGGTTTGGGGGTATCAGGGTGGGGTTTAGGGATGTTAGGGTGGGTTTAGGGGGTGTCAGGGTGGGTTTGGGGGTATCAGGGTGGGGTTTAGGGATGTTAGGGTGGGTTTAGGGGGTATCAGGGTGGGTTTGGGGGTATCAGGGTGGGTTCAGGGGTGTCAGGGTGGGTTTAGGGGGTGTCAGGGTGGGTTTGGGGGTATCAGGGTGGGGTTTAGGGATGTCTGGGTGGGTTTAGGGGTATCAGGGTGGGTTTAGGGGGTGTCAGGGTGGGGTTTGGGGGTGTCTGGGTGGGTTCAGGGGTATCAGGGTGGGCTTTGGGGGTACCTGCAGCAGCTGGGGGTTCTCCTGGCCCAGTTGCTGCAGCAGGGCTGGGAGCAGAGCCGGGTTCTGCTGGATCACCTGGCGCATGTTCTGGAACTGGGGCTGCTCCCGCAGGAATTCCAGCGGGTTCTCACCTGTGGGGTGTGGCTGACAGGTGAGACCACACCCTTTGCCTCCCCCAAAGCCGTGTTTGGATGGGGTGGGGTCACCTGGACCCACTCCGCCCTCCGAGACCACACCCCAAATAATGAATAATGTTATTTGCTTGGCTCCACCCACCAAGGGGGCGGAGTCTCAGGGGGTGTGACCACCCAGCCACACCCTCCAATTGGGCGGGGCCTCCGAGGGTGTGGCCACCTGGCCACACCCATTTTCCGAGCCCCTCCCACTGACCTTCGGGCGGGGCCTGCTCCGCAGGGCGGGACTCCTGCACCGGCGGGCGCTCGGGCTCGGGGCTGCCAGGGATGCCCTGGGGAGGGGGCACAAGGGGGTCAGGGGCACCTCCAGGACCCCCCCAGCACCCCCTGAACCCCCCCCTTCGCATTAGCTAAACAATTAACAATTAAATAATCAGGATTTTCGCAGCATAACGCAATAATCCCACGAGCATTATTGGAGCTGGAGCTGCCCCCTCAGCCCCCCAAAGCCCCCCCAAAGCCCCCCCCGGCGCGCCCCCTCACCGTGAGCAGGTACTCCACGGCACGGTGGGGGTTGTTGTAGCTGGCCCTCAGCGCGGCCACCACGCGCTCGCGCTCGTAGCCCATGGACACGATCTCCGACAGCATCGTCTCGTACTCCGAGCCTGTCACTGCACGACCCCCCTCCCCAAAATCAGCTGGGAGGGACCCCCAAACCAACCTCCCGCTCCCCTCCCTTTCAAATGTGTCCCCCCCCAGCCGTTGGCACCCCATGGCAGTGATGGGTTGGGACCCCTCTGGCCCCAAAAATCCAATTTTTCCCGAATTTCAGCGAGTGGGAGACACCGAAAATCTCTCCCTTTTGGCCTCACAAGTGAGGCCCCCAAACCTCAAACCCCCATCCCAGCCCCAAGTTCGCCCCAGACCCCCCTCAGGACCCCCCTCGGGACCCACCGAGGGTGGAGGCGGCGTCGGCCGAGCGTCCGGAGCTGCCCGGGGGGGGAACGGAGCTGCAAATCCCC